CAGCACTTGTATTGCACAAACCTGCAGGGGGGTAAGAAGTGTGACACAGGTGCACTTGTGCAGCGTGTGTGTGGACGGTGCAGCGAGAGGCATTGAAGCCCTAGCTGGCGAGTGGGTGGTGCAGCCCATGTGCGCTTGGTGCAGACAAGGCTACAAGGTTAGGCGCGTGTGAGCTTTGAGCAGCCAAGACGGAGAGAGGTGGCGCGTGTGTGCTTGCTGCAGGGATGTAGAGGTGCAGTGCGAGTGTGCTTGGTGCAGCAATGGCAGTGAGGTGCAGTGCGTGTGTGCTTGCAGCAGGGACGGCAGGGTGGTCCAGTGTGTGTGTGCTTGCTGCAGCAAAGGCAGGGAGGTGCAGTGCGTGTGTGATTGCTGCAGGGAAAGCAGGGAGGTGCAGTGCGTGTGTGCGCCAAGCAGTAAAGGCAGGGAGGTGCAGTGCGTGTGTGCTTGCTGCAGGGACGGCAGGGAGGTGCAGTGCGTGTGTGCTCGCTGCAGACAAGGCAGTGAGGCGCTGCACGTGTGCGCTCGCTGCAGACAAGGCAATCAGGTGCCGCGCGTGTGTGCTTTGAGCAGCCAAGGCAGTGAGAGGTGGCGCGTGTGTGCTTGGTGCATCCAAGGCTGCGAGTTGCGGTGTGTGTGTGCCTTAAGCAGCCAAGGCTGCGAGGTGCGGCCCATGCGGCTTGAAGCAGCCTAGGCTGCGAGGTGCGGTGTGTGTGTGCTTGGTGCAGCCAAGGCTGCAAGGTGCGGCGGATGTGTGCTATAAGCATCCTAGGCTGCGAGGTGCGACGCGTGTGTGCTTTGAGCAGCCAAGGCTGCCAGGTGCGGCACGTGTGTGCTTTGATCAGCCTTGGCTGCGTGGTGCAGCGCGTGTGTGCTTTGAGCAGCCATGGCAGGGAGGAGCAGCGTGCGTGTGCTTGCTGCAGCCAAGGCAGGGAGGTGCAGCGCGTGTGTGCTCGCTGCAGACAAGGCATTGAGGTGCGTGCGTGTGCCCTCGCTGGAGACAAGGCAGTAAGGTGCTGCGTGTGTGTGCTTTGAGCAGCCAAGGTAGTGAGAGGTGGCGCGTGTGTGCTTAGTGCAGCCAAGGCTGCAAGGTGCGGCGCATGTGTGCTTTAAGCATCCACCGCAGCGAGGTGCGGCGCGTGTGTGCTCTGAGCAGCCAAGGCTGCGAGGTGCGGCGCGTGTGTGCTTTGAGCAGCCAAGGCTACCAGGTGTGGCGCGTGTGTGCTTTGAGCAGCCAAGGTTGCGAGGTGCAGCGCGTGTGTGCTTTGAGCAGCCAAGGCTGCGAGGTGCGGTGCGTGTGTGCTTTGAGCAGCCAAGGCTGCGAGGTGCGGCGCGTGTGTGCTTTGAGCAGCCAAGGCTGCCAGGTGCGGCACGTGTGTGCTTTGATCAGCCTTGGCTGCATGGTGCAGCGCGTGTGTGCTTTGAGCAGCCATGGCAGGGAGGAGCAGCGTGCGTGTGCTTGCTTCAGCCAAGGCAGGGAGGTGCAGCGCGTGTGTGCTCGCTGCAGACAAGGCAGTAAGGTGCGCGCGTGTGCCCTCGCTGCAGACAAGGCAGTGAGGTGCTGCGCGAGTGTGCTTTGAGCAGCCAAGGTAGTGAGAGGTGGCTCGTGTGTGCTTGGTGCAGCCAAGGCTGCGAGGTGCGGCGCATGTGTGCTTTAAGCATCCACCGCTGCGAGGTGCGGCGCGTGTGTGCTCTGAGCAGCCAAGGCTGCGAGGTGCGGTGCGTGTGTGCTCTGAGCAGCCAAGGCTACCAGGTGCGGCGCGGGTGTGCTTTGAGCAGCCAAGGCTGCGAGGTGCGGCGCGTGTATGCTTGGTGCAGCCAAGGCTGCGAGGTGCGGGGCATGTGTGCTTTAAGCATCCACCGCTGCGAGGTGCGGCGCGTGTGTGCTTTGAGCAGCCAAGGCTGCGACGTGCGGCGCGTGTGTGCTTTGAGCAGCCAGGGCTGCCAGGTGCGGCGCGTGTGAGCTTTGAGCAGCCAAGGCTGCCAGGTGCGGCGCGTGTATGCTTGGTGCAGCCAAGGCTGCGAGATGCGGCGCGTATGTGCCTTGAGCAGCCAAGGCTGCGAGGTGCGGCGCGTGTGTGCTTTGAGCAGCCAAGGCTGCCAGGTGCGGCACGTGTGTGCTTTGATCAGCCTTGGCTGCGTGGTGCAGCGCGTGTGTGCTTTGAGAAGCCATGGCAGGGAGGAGCAGCGTGCGTGTGCTTGCTGCAGCCAAGGCAGGGAGGTGCAGCGCGTGTGTGCTCACTGCAGACAAGGCAGTGAGGTGCGCGCGTGTGCCCTCGCTGCAGACAAGGCAGTAAGGTGCTGCGTGTGTGTGCTTTGAGCAGCCAAGGTAGTGAGGGGTGGCGCGTGTGTGCTTGGTGCAGCCAAGGCTGCAAGGTGCGGTGCATGTGTGCTTTAAGCATCCAAGGCTGCAAGGTGCGGCGCGTGTGTGCTTTGAGCAGCCAAGGCTGCGAGGCGCGGCGCATGTGTGCTTAGAGCAGCCAAGGTTGCGAGGTGCGGCACGTGTGTGCTTTGAGCAGCCAAGGCTGCGTGGTGCAGCGCGTGTGTGCTTTGAGCAGCCATGGCTGCGAGGTGCGGTGCGTGTGTGCTTTGAGCAGCCAAGGTTGCAAAGTGCGGCGCGTGTGTGCTTGCTGCGGACAAGGCAGTGAGGTGCGTGCGTGCAGCAGGAGGGAATGTGGTGCAGTGCCTCAGAGTGTGGTGCAGCGGGAGCCTGTGCAGTGCAGCGTAACGTCCCTCAGAGCAGCGGATGGACCCGTGATGCGACGTGAGGGAGTATGCCACTTGAGCATTTCATGGGGGTGCGGATCTCCCGGGCGAGAGTGGTGGGCTTCCCGCTTGGGAGTGAGGTGCAGCGGGGCCGTCGGTGGTTCAGCAGGAGGGCGGGGCACCCTGTGCCGGGGACTGTGGTACAGAGAACTTGTGGGCGGTGCAGCGGGCTGGGGTACAGGGCAGCGCCTGAGAGTGGGGTGCAGCAAGTACGAGAGTGGTGCGGCCCTTCAGAAAGCGGGGCAATGAGAGGTAATGCTGTGCAGACGGCGGGGATGTGGCGCAGCGGAACGGCATGAGGTCGTGGGGGTTGGCGTTTGGAGGCGGGAGAGAGTGGCGTGCGGTGTGAGGAAGTGTGGTGACGCAGAGAGGACTCGCGGACGACAGTGTGGGTGGGGGCGCGGTGCAGAGCGTGTCCCAACCCACGCGATGGGAGGGGTTTCCGTGTCGCGGGAGCGTGCTTGGCGCAGGGGAGCGAGGGAGTTGATGCGAGACCTAGTGGCAGGGGTCCGTCGTCCGTTTCTCACGTTTTACCAGGCGTGTGTTCGGCGCGCCTGTGTTCCGTCGCCTTCCTTCGGGCGGAGGCCTCCAGGCGCGTCTCCACTTCCTTTTCCCCTCGTTTTTATGCGGTGCGAGCCCCACCGGCCTTGTCGCGCAGGCCGCAGGTTTGTAGTGATCGAATTAGTTTATCGCAGCTCCTTTCCCCCTGCCACGTCTCTGTCGAGTTTACCATGCGCTTGTTGGCTATCGGGAATTTCAAGGGTTCACTCTCTTTCTCACGTCTCTGGAGTTGGCATTTTGTTGACGGTGTTTGGGCGCACGTCGTGGGTTGCCCCCTCGTCGCCCTAGGCAATTTTCCGAGCCTTTTGGTTGCGTGTTGGGTGTCGCTTGGGGTGTTATGGCTCGCGTGGCTGGTCCTGTTCGTGGGGCTACTTTGCATGGCGGCGAGGCCTCGGTATTTGCGATTTTGTTATGTTTGAACATCCCCCTCGATGCTCTCGAAAATGCATGTATTTTTATGGTCGTCGAGTGTCGCCAACCCAAGTCCCTCCCTTCGCCCAACCTCCCTGTCGCCCGTCGTTTCGCCCCCACCTCGCGAAGTTGGCGAGCGGGACCAAGAATCAAAGACTTCGAGTCTTGGTCCTACTTGGGTCACGCGCTTTAATAAATATTCTAGGAATGTGTACCGCGGCTTTAAGAGACATTCTGTCGTTACGCTCCTCTATAGTTTTCTCCGCTATACTCTGAGTATACTCTTGGACTTCCAGAGGCCAACAACTCGCATCACCTCAACAAACCCAGCACCTCAGCAAACCTGGGCATGTCATTGTCGAGCCACGGCCGCCCCGCCGACGAAGTAGGGTTGCCGCATTGGACAATGGATTGGACAAGGACACGCCGCATTTGCCGAATCCCATGTTGTTGAAAAACTTGGACTGGTGTCTCCCGCCCCGTCGCTCCTGAATCGGCCCGCCCTTGCCGAAAGGCAGCGAATGTACACATAAAAGGCGATAGTTTTCTTCGAAATGCCCTGACAATATGAAACTTCTCCATGTCAAGTACTTTCGTTTATAACCAGCTGTATAAGCACGAATGAGAATCTTAGACATATACCGATACATTTTATTAAAGAATAAACACTTAAAACCCATGAATTTTCCAAAAAAAAAAAATCCTGCACGAATACGCATATTATACATGTACCTGCATGATCGAAATGGAAGCTTTTGTTGCATGTGCGATATTATTGATTATTAAAAGGCCATATTATGAATAAGTAAATCCAAATATGTACATTGAATAAGATACAGAACTATAAGGATCCCTGTATATTTTCGATAATTTGTTGAGCTCGTCAATAATGATTTAACTGGCATTGTTGTAAAGCCCGGTGAGGTGGTGTTGGCATTAAATATATTATAAGCTAATGATGTATTTATGTAAAAGAGCTATTATTTCCCGCTGATTCGGCGTGCGGATCTTCAGCTTCGTAGTTTCCTCAGGGCTCTTGTTTGGACGTGTCTTGAATCTCGATGTATGTCCAAAGATTTAAAGAACGCCTTTAAAGGACATCCGTCTAACGAAGTATTGGTGCTTCCGCGAGCTTTAAACTGGGAGAAGCTTTGTGTGACGTGGAGTGCGGAGGTGAGGTGAAGTGAGGTCACTCACACAGCAGCACTAACCAAACAGTGCGTGGCTTGCGTTCCATATCGCGTATCTACCCAACCAAAAGACAGAAGGCCAGGCAGAGAAGCACGGCGCGCACATCTTCCCTGACACTCGCTGCTCTTTACCTCCTCGTCCGTGTCTGTAATTCTCTAGCCTGGTGCTTGCACTTGCGTAGCAGGCAGCTCACGTTGGCGGTGCTTGCGCTGACCCTCCCCCCTCCATCCTCACCTGCATTCCGTCGTTCCCATCGACTACGCAGTGCGCATCTTGCGCACTGGTGTTGGTACTGCTCATTCACCCACCCAAGTTGACCACGTCACCGTCTCCCCGCACTTATTGCCGCGCCATCGGCCTCGTCCTTCCCAACGGCGCCTTCGAAGTCGCACCACTCAATTCCGACAACTTCCTTTGCATTGGCACTTCCCTTCACTGCTCGAATAACGCCCACCGCCGCCGCCTCTGCCGCCGTCTGTGCATCTGTAGCGTCCACCGCCCTAAAGCCCGCCCCGCACACCCAGAGAGCTTCAGCCCGACAATTGCGGCTCTCCCCTACGCGGCATCTACTGGACAGTGACAGCGTAGGTAGTACTCGTGCTCACCACGAGCGTCGTAAGCCTACGTGACTGTCCGCGGGCGCTGCTGCATTACACATTCCACGCCACAGCGCCACGACAGGCTCACGCCCGCGCCGCACCGTCAACCACAGACTCCGCCGCCGCCGCCGCCGCCGCCGCTCGCGCTGGCGCGGATTCCGCGACACATCGCAAGGGACCGTGTCGTGTCGCAACCATCTTCGTCCTCGTCATCGCTCCACAGCTCCGACCCCCGGCGAGTCGCCGACGGCGCGTGCGCTCACGGCTTTTGAGCCGACTCAAGAGCGTGCCAGCGGCGAGCATGGCGCACCACCACCTGCACCATCCGTCAGGGTCAGCTCGGTCGCTGTCGCCGTCAGCTCTCGCGCTCGCAACAGTCTTCTGCGTAAGTCCGCAGTGCTGAGCTATGGCGCTAGCGCGCGCCCGCTGCGAGGTGTGGGTTGGGTTGGGTTGGGTTGGGGTGGGGGGGGGGGGGGGGGGTGGGGGGTGGGAGGGGCGGAGGTTCCTGCACACCACGCATGGCAGCTGACAGCTTCTTGATTCCGCTGTGAGGGCAGAGCGCTCCCGCCGTCAGATTCCCTGGTGCGCGGGGGGGTTTACCACACTGCAGCGTCGCTGCTGCCTTGGGGCAACTGCGAGTGAGAGCGGCCGGCACGGATGGCAGCAGTAGCATGTGGCAGTGGCGTGGGGCAGTAGCTTGGGCATCATGTGATTCGCTTCGGCCGCGCCTCTCCTCATCTGCCTCTCCCTCCTCCCCCTGCGTTTCTTCCTCGCCTGGCCCCATCCTTGACCCCTCCCTTCAGCTTCTCGCCACCCACCTCTGCACCGCTGCTGCAGCCACGCACGTGCGCTCTCTTACCGTGTCAGCGCCACCGCCAGTGTCAGCACCTGCTAGTGCCGCCAGCAGCGCCGGTGCTGCCGCTGCCAGCACTGCGATTTTCGGTGACGGCCGCAAGCACATCACTGGCCGCCACGTGCAAAAGTGAGAACACTCTCCCCTTTCCCTCCCTCCCCTCCCCCTACCCCCCCTTCCCCCCCTTCCCTTCATGCACTCGCTCGCTGTTTCCGCCCAATGCGCGCCTCTCCTCCGCCTTCGACCAATGCTCCCCTAATTCCCCCAATCCCCCCCTTGATGCTCCCCATGTTCCGCCTCCCCAAATCCCTCCGCGCTGCATCTCACACCAGAGAGGTAGGCACCGGCAGCAGCGCACCGTCGTCCGCCCCATGGGCGTGTTGCAGCCGGGGTGCGGCAGAGGCAGCGACACTCTTGCCCTTCCTCCTTCCTTCTCTGTAGCAGCTCCTTCCCATCCTCATCATCCACCCCGTGGGCCGTGCCCCCCATCCCATCCCCGTGCGTGCCTCGTGTGTCTCTCCCTCAGAGTGGAGGTCAACGGCAGCAGTGCCATCGTGCAGCCCATGGGCGTGGTGCAGTCGGGGTGCGGCAGAGGCAGGACACTCTTGCCCTTCCTCATCCCCATGGGCCGCTCCCCTCCTCCCCCCCCCCCCCCCTCACATCCCCGTGCCCCCTGTCGCCCTCAGGGTGCAGGCCAACGGCAGCAGCGCTGCCATCGTGCGGCCCATGGGCGTGGTGGAGTCGGGATGCGGCAGCGACACGTGCAACGCGGAGCCATGGCGGTGCAACGTGATGAGCGACCCCATCAACGTGTACCTCATCTGGCACGGCGCCTTCTCCAAGGCCCAGAAGAACGTCGTGCGCACCTTCGTGCGCTCGCTCAGCAGCTCCGAGGGCACTGGTGAGAGGGGGGAGGGGGTGGGGACGGGGGAAGCGGTGGGGTGGTGGGGTGGTGGGGTGGTGGGGAGATGGTGATGTGACCTGGTGAGATGGTGAGATGGTGATGTGACCTGGTGAGATGGTGAGTTGGTGATGTGATCTGGTGAGATGGTGAGATGGTGATGTGATCTGGTGACATGGTGAGATGGTGAGATGGTGGGGCGGGATTGTGGTGAGGGTGATGCGTGGGGAGATTGTGGGTGGGCGGTGTGTTAGACTGCGTGCTATTGTCCTCTGTTCTCTCTTCCCGACCCTCTGCTCCTGTGCGGCACCCGCCCCCACCTCTCTCTCCTGCCAGCAAACAAACCTCACAGGCATCCTCACCCCACCTCACCCCGCCTCACCTCACCTCATGCCACCTCCTCGCTGTGGTCACATGCACCCCACTCTGCAGCGAGCTGCTTGAGCCTCACATAGAATAGCCCCTGTCCCAACTGCCCCATGTGCACTGTGCTTCCTCTCCCCTTCTCCCCCCACCCGTCTCCTCCACTACCTTCGCCCCTATCCCATCTCCCTTCATCCCTCCCTCAAGCCTTCTGCCCCCTTCACCAAACCTCCCCCACCCCCTCTCTCCTCCCTATCGTCTCCCCTTCCCCATCCATATCCCCCTAACCAAACCCCAATCTCCTTTCCCCCCCCTCCACCTTGACCCTTGCAGTGTCCGGCTGGTGGGGCATATCTCAGCTGTACACAGACTGCGACGGCAACGCTGTCTCGGGCGATGTGGCGCTGGCGGGGGAGATGCAGGTGCGACCCAACGCGTTCAAGCTGCTGCTGGGGGAGAACTCCTTAGTCAACCTCGTGCGCATGGGCATCAACCGCGGCAAGTTCCCTGCGGATGTCAACGGGGTCTACTTTGTCGTCGGCAGCCGGTGGAGCAAGCAGGTCGGTCGGTGGGTAGCTGGGTGGGTGGGTGGGTGGGTGGGCGGGCGGGCGGGCGGGCAGGTGGGCGGGCGGGTGGATGGGTGGGTGGGTGTTTGGGGCTATCATTCGTGGGTGTTTGGGTGGTTTAGGATGGAAGGGGTGGTGCACGCTATTTATCCCATCTGTTGATCTGTCGGATATTTGCTATGCTCTCAACAGCCCTCCTGTTTCTCCCCTCCATCTCACCTTGCCTCAACCCTTGTTACCTTGGTACCACCGGACCCCACTTTTCAACACCTGTTGCCACCGGCTCTCCTGTTCCCTTGCTGCTCGCCTTTCCCCTGGCCATGACCCCCTGCCCTGCCCCTTCCCCCCTGGGCAGTGGAGCTCGCTGAACCCGTGGGGCGACAACTTCTGCTCCGGCTACTGCGGGTGGCACAGCTACCGCTCCATCAAGGGCAAGCAGCTCAAGTACTCGTTCGTTGGCAACCCTGCTGGCCGGGTGAGCCCCATCTCTCCCCCCTTTCCATCTTCTCCCCATCTTCTCCCCCTCCCCTCCCTCTCACACCCACTCACAATCTCCCCTGCACAATCTCCTTTCTTTATCCGTTCACCCTCCCCTGCACCGTTCGCTGTGCTCCATTGGGCTCGTGGGTGGGTTGGTGGTGCGAGGAGGCGGAGCCGGGAGGGATGCGATGCAAGGGGAGTGGCTCTGGGGAGTGGCTCTTGAGTGACCTGGGAGCTCACACACTGCCACACGCCTGGTTGGCACTGCTTGGCTGCCCTGGTGCTTAAATCTGCCCTGTTGCTTAAAGCTGCCCTGGTGCTTAAATCTGCCCTGTTGCTTAAATCTGCCCTGGTGCTTAAATCTTCCCTGTTGCTTTTAACCGCCTGCTTCTCTCGCTGCCTCGGCTCAAGCCTGGTATACTGAGCCCAAGGGCCACTCACCCTACACTACACCCAAACTCTGAAGTCTGAATGAAGACTTCAGTTGTAGAGTAGGGTGAAGTGGGCTTTTGGGGTGGACTGGAGTGACGGTGATGCGAGGGTCGGAGGCTGCTTCCATACCTGTGCGGCTGTGCCCATCATACCCCTGCCTGCAACCCCTGCTGGGGTGTCATCCCCTCTCCTGTCATCCCCACTTCCCTCGTTGCCTCTCCCCTCCCACTCCCCCACTGTTCTCCCCTCCCTCCTCTTCCCCCCAAGCAATACTTTCCTCTCTTTCCATTCCCCTTGTCCCTGCCCCTTCCCCCCGTCCCTTCCCACTCTGGCAGTGCATGTGGGGGTGTGGCGGCAAGACACTGTACAACGCACCGGCGGGCCCGGGTGGGGCGGGCAAGGGCATGGACTCGGTGGTGTCGACCCTGGCGCATGAGCTCACAGAGGCGGCCACCGACCCGTACCTCAGCACGTGGAGCGACTCCGAGGGCTATGAGAACGCTGACGTGTGCGACATCGAGTGAGTGGCTTGTGGGGGGGATAGGGGGTGGGGATGGTGGGGATGGTGGGGGTGGTGGGGATGGTCTACTTGCACTCGTCTTGCATTCGTCTTGCACTGTCCACTCCGCTACTCCTCGCCACCAACCCTGTAGTCACCCCTCACATCGAGACACACACCCCACAGCCTCCACTGTGACGCCCTTCACACCACCCACGGAGCACAGCAGCATCTGTCGCCATGCCGCAGCATCACCCTCACCCTTGCTCCCCTCACCCTTGCTCCCGCTCACCCTGTCCTCTCTCTTTTTCTCATCACCCTTACATCAGCGCCTCCCTTTCCCTTTCCCACTGGTAGCTTCCAGGCGAGTGACCTGTCCACCACATCAGACGGGGCGCCGTACAACCTAGAGGGCATAGCGGGGTCCAAGTTCCTAGTGCAGCTCAACTACCACCCCACCCAGCACCAGTGCGTCTCCACTGTGTAGCCGCCGGCAATCCAACTCAACTCAACCCCACCCAACCTAACCCGACAAAACCGATCTCACCAGCTGCACAGAGCACATCTACCCCATATCATAATGCCATGGCGCTGGTGCTGCCACATGTCAGGGTTCACTTCTTCACTCCCTCATCGTTGGCATCACTGCCAGCTGTGGGTGGAAATGACCATTATCATACATCTGAGAGTCTAAGGTGTGCTGCACCTCGCAGAAGAGGGCGATTAAGATTGGCGTGTCAGATACCATCGCTGTGCTACCTACACTGGAGGTTTTTCCTGGATACTTATCCCTTCTTTTCATTATTACTTATCCCTTCGATTTAGAGATGTGTTCCTGACGGTTAGCTTGATCTGTGCCTGTGCATGATGTGACATGCGGCTAGTACGCTAAAGAAGCACAAGACACCAATTCTATTTCTATATATATATATATATATATATGTATATATATGTATATATATTTTAATTGCCAACAGCCCACTTCATGCCATCAGCCTTGCCGTCGAGTTGAGTTAGCTCTATGCAACGGAAAGATCTGGAAGTCATTAATTTGTATCTAATAGTTGGACCCGTCGTCTCTATACAGATCACTCGGGTCCGCTACCTTCGAGCCTCCTACAAGCTTCACCCTTACTCGTCTCTTCACCCTTTCAGCTTCACCGCGCTATCGTCTCTCGCCGCAGTACCCTCTCTATCAGCCCCGTCCGACGGCGCACACGAGCCCGCGCTCCAGTCTCCGCCTGCTCTGCGCCGATTGCCACTCGCCCTCCCCGCACGTGCTTCCGGTCACGGACCCTTCCGACTCAGTCGGCCCCAATTTCCCGCGCGCCACGGCTGCCGGGCGGGACCAGGTGCCGCTTAATCTCCTCACGGCGCGCGGGGACTCTCCGTTGCAGGCCGTTGAGTGAAGCTTCCGAAGCGGCGCAGCCACAGGGGTTGCGGCGCTCCTGTCCCCGCGGAAAATCCCCGCGCAGGGCTCTACCAAGCCGCCGCCTGCTATGTCCCTCAGGGTTCCGCGAGCGGCGACCGCCTCGGTTTCGATACGGCGGAGTCTCTCAACGCGCTCGTTGATTGCACGCATGCGGTCGAGCGCAGCCGCGCGGATCCCCAGCGATTGCGCGAGGGAGCGCTGCAGCTGAGCGCGGAGAGCGCCCATGTCTGGCGCACCCGCAGCCGTAGCCACGACGGGCGGTGCGCGCTGCTCCGCGTCGCCGTTCTGCTGCGATGGCCCCGCGCCTTCGGAGGAGACTGCGCCGGCGGTAGAGCAGGGAGCGGCGGACGAAACGCGCTGCACCGGTAGGCAATCGTGCAGTAGTGAGCAATCTTGCTGCTGCTGGCATGTCGCGCCACCCATGTCAGGAATTCTTCGCACGTTAAGGCGTTTCGATGGATGGGCGTAATCGACTGTGGGGTCCCTGTCACCGGATCTGTGCTTTGCGCTAGGGGTATAAAGTTCGGCTGAAGAGAGCGACGAGAGAAAAGCTGCGGGCGGAAGAGGCCCTTGTGGGACGGCTGTAGGGGCCATGACTGATGGAAGCAGGCCAATTATTGTTCGTCTGCTCAATGTTGCGTTGCTGGAAGAATTGAAGGTGTGTGATACTCCAGATTGCTCTCATCAGGCTGTATAAGTAGTATGTTGAGAGGCTGGGGGAAAATCGAGAAGTTGGGTAGTCAAACGAATGCTGTAGACATCGTAGGGTGCGGCTTGGTTTGGGCTAGGTTGTGGTGGTTGGGACGCTAGGGCTGCTGGTTCTGCCAGGGCTGCTGCTGGTGCTGGCAGGCAGGGCTCCGGTACTGTAGCGGTGTGGCAGTGGTGTCTGGTGTGGCAGTGGTGTCTGGTGTGGCAGTGGTGTCCGTGGCGATTGGCGGGCAGACGTCTAGGCGGGATATCCCGGCAAAAGTCAGCGGGCAGAATGGTGCCGCAGAGACCGGAGAACTCCATTTGTGCGTTACTCAAGCGAGCACTTGCGACTCGCCGCGTCACGCGGAATTCTGGGTGGGAGGGGTTGGAATAGGAAAGCGCGTGGGGGGTTTGGTTGTGAGTGTTCGGTTGGAACAGCAACGCATTCCGCCATCTCGGGTCGCGTGCGAAAGCTGACCATCCAGGGGGACCTGTGGCTTGCCTGTGCAACCGAGCCCAGCGCGCCCGTCGTCACAGGGGCGTGGCGCAGTTGTTGCCGCCGCGCACGTCAGGTCGGGCAGGTGGCGGCAAATCCCCGCACATGAATGAAACCGCGTCGCGATTCCCGGTCCGAGGTCACCTCACCTGAACCCAGGCTCAGCTGACCGCTGGTGTGAGGATGGAAAACCTGCCGAAACCGCTGCAGCGCTGACCTGCAAAACTGCCCCGTCGTCCCTATTGGACGGATTAAAGCGTTTCCGAGAGTGTCAGAGTGTTATGAATAATGAAGTGTTGAATCCCTGAATGACGATACAAGGAATGGCAAGCTGTTATGAATAATAACTAAGAGTGCGCGGAATCATAATGACGAGTACAAGAATGTGAACCTAGCATAATATAGCGAGGACTCTAGCTAGGCGACGAGCCCGGAGGGCTTGGTTGGGTAAAGGCGCGGTCGAAAGGGCCGGAGGCGGCGCGGGCTCGCCTCGGGGTCGCGTCGGAAACGGACCAAGCCTGGTCTTCCGAGAGTTCGGGTGTACGCGATTGCAGTACAACCCGGTAAGGAATAAAATTCCTTACACTACCCCCCCTCTTAAGGAAGGTGGTCAATATCGGGAACGCCTTTGCGGGTCAAATAAGATTTGAGCACCGAGTGTTCCTGAATCGAGTCGGAAGTGACCCACGTGTCGTCTTCGCTTGTACGATCGACCCAGCGGACCAGAAAATCCACGTGTCGTCCTGTTGTGTCGAGTCGGACGCGATGACTCAGAAGTCGAAAAGGCTCAAGGGTCGGTTCGGCCATCGGGCGGACAATGGGGGCGGTCGCTGGTCGTGCGACGGCTGACGTGCTGGCGACGTAGGGACGAAGGAGGCTGACGTGGAAGGCGTCGTGAATGCGCCACTCGTCCGGAAGTAATAATTTCGCCGTGACAGGTGTCACCATCTTGAGAATACGGAAAGGTCCACAGAATCGTGGTCGAAGTTTTGAAGGCAGGGGCAGGCGAAGGTTCTTCGTGTCGAGAAGGACTAGTTGCCCAGCTGTCATCGTTATATCGCGGCGATGAAGATCTGTATAGCGGCGGGTGTTGTGTTGGATTTGCGGATAAATGCAATCACTTTTTCCAAGGCTGTTTGTAAATCGGTCACAAACTGCTGGGAACGGGGCACGGGGTTGTCGATGTTGGTAATCGTCGGTACTGTCGGATCCATCCCGTAGTTGAGGAAGAATGGTGAGTGATTAGTCGTAGCAGATGGGGCGTTGTTGTAGGAAAATTCCAGCATGGGCAGGGATTCTTCCCACCGGGCAGGATCTGGGCAGTTGGTGCATATCAGCTGCTCCATGGTTTGATTGGTTCGCTCCGTTTGGCCGCCAGTTTGGGGATGGTAGGCGGATGAGAATTGGAGGCGGGTGCCGTACTGTGCCCATGTCTCTTGCCAGGACTTGGACGTGAACTTTGGGTCGCGTTCGCTGATGGTATGCCGTGCAGACGAACAACGGGTGAGATGAAAAGCTTTGCAGTTTCTTCGGCTGTGATGGTTGTGCGACAGGGTGCGAAGTGCGCCATCTTCGTCAGTCGGTCGACGACGACGAGGACGGCATCATTGCCGTTCGGATTGGCCAGAAGCCCCGTGACGAAGTCTATCGTCACGTGTTGCCACGGTCGCTGGGGTGGCTCGAGCGGTTGCAGCAGTCCAGCTGGCCGCTGTTGAGAAGACTTCATGCGCTGGCAGGTCGGGCACGCTGATACGTATCTCTGCACATCAGACGCCGAATCGGGCCAATAATAAAAACGGTGAAGTAACTTCTGGGTTTTATCAACCCCGAAATGACCGGAGAGATTAGAATCATGGACTTCCTGAATAAGTAATTCGCGGAGGAGTCTGTAAGCGGGAACCCAGATACGGTCAGTACCGACTTTTAGGAAATAGATTCTTTTAGCCGTGGTGGCTTGCTGGTGGAGGTTGCGAGTGAAAAAGGGGTCGGTGCTGTAGCCGTGGGTAAATAGTCCCGTGAGCAGTGGGTTGGATTTTGCAATGATGATGGAGGCGAGGTGGGCGGACGGTCGTGTCAGTGCGTCGGCGATGTTATTCGCCCCACGTTTGTACGTGATGGTGTAGTGGAAGTTGCTCTCAAGGAAGTACAGCCAGCGAATCTGCCGTGGGTTGAGGTTCGGCTGCGCGCGGAGGTACTGTAGGGATTTGTGGTCTGTCCGTACTGTCACGTCGGCCCCTGTCAGGTAGCAGCGCCATACTTTGAATGCGTGCACGATGGCGAGCATTTCCTTGTCGTGGACGGGGTAGTTGCGCTCTGCTGCCTGCAACTTCCGGGACTCGTACGCGATTGGTTGGAGTCCGTCGCCGAAATCCTGTAACAGTATCGCACCGATGGCGAAATCGCTAGCGTCCGTCAAGACTTCGAACGGTCGAGATTGGTCAGCGATTCGGAGAACCGGGGGTGACGTCAGAAAATTTCTGAGTTCGTCGAAAACAGCCTGCTGTCTCTCCCCCCACTCGAACGTGGTGCCCTTCCGCAGCAGGTCAGTTAATGGTCCCGTTATCCTTGCCATGTTGGGGATAAACTCTACAGCTCCTGTAAATTCGTCGGTGGCTTCCAGTCGCGGATTGTGGTGATCTTCTTCGGGTCGATTTTGATGCCGTCCGCTCCGACTACGTGTCCCAAAAATTCCAGTTCGGATTTTAGGAACTCGCACTCCATGAAAGGCGTATTCCAAAATCTACTCGACAAGTGTGTCATCGTCTATCTCGATGACATTTTGATCTTCAGCAAGACACAGGAACAGCACCTCAGAGACCTCGAGCAAGTTTTTCAACGGCTGCAAGAAAACCGGCTCATCACGAAAGGCGAGTTCCTTTCGTCTCCCCGTTTAACTGCTCGCTGGAGGGTGATGGCGTTGACACGTATCAACACCAGATCCCTCCCATGCCAGCACGGAAGTGTGCGCCAACCATTCGCACAGTGCACGCTGCATTCGCCAGTTGTCCAGTCGATCCGCGGGTTGTATTTTCGCAGCCAATCACGTCTGAGAAGAATGTCGCATCCGTCCAGCGTCGTAGCAAGCATGGGCATGCTGAATCCAAAATCGTTGCCACACTTCATCCGCACCATGCGCGCTCGTTCCCGAATTGCAAGTGGAGTTCTGTCCACCAGTCGCGCGTCGATTTCGGGTAAACATTTCTCCAACGTCAGCTTCAACTGCTTCGCTGTTGTCACGTGGATGAGGCTATGACTAGCCCCGCCATCCACAAATAACTTTATTTTTTTGCCGTTCACCTTGCCTTCAACCAGCACAGGGTGATCTTCAGGTTCGTCCGAGTGCGGTCGATAGCATGTATCGGTACCACAACTTGGTGGGAGCGTTGAAGTTCGGGCGACAAAGCCTCGTCAGTAGGGGGCCCGTCTGCTACTGACTTTTCCCATTTCCCGGCTTCTCCTTGTCGTTCTTCGTCTTCTTGGGCGCCGTTGGGCAGTACTAAGCTCGGTGATCTGGCTTGTCACATCGATAGCACAGCCCGTGAAATATTTCATCGGGCGCTGACACGCCATTGATCGTGGGGCGGGGAGACTGTCCACGAAAACGACCAGCATCCCTGTTGTTCTTTCTCGCCCACTGCTGCAGTGCATCGGCTGCTGACGCCAGCTGGACAGCATCATCGAACGTCTTGGGACGGGACCGCTGCAGCTCACACAGGATCTCAAAATGCAGCCCGCTGATGTATTTGTCCCGCCGTTCCGCTTCGCTGAGGTCGTCCACTTGGTCCGCAAGTGCCGAGAACGACGCAGTGTAATCTTGAACAGTAGTCACCTGCCGCTTGTTGCGCAGCTTCATGCGAGCGTCGTCTGAGGCGGATGAGTGCTCAAAACGAGCTCGTAGAGCTGTGCCCCACTGTTTCCATGTGCGAATCGTGGTCGTACCGAATATCGTTTCTGCCAATTGGTTTGAAGAATCCGAAGTCTCGTCCTTCGCCTGCTTCACTCCTGCCGGAGTCCCAATCGCCAACTGTCGTCGCCACCAATCCAACGCCGGTCCTCGGAGCAGCGACACGGCATAATTAATGCGCGCGTCGTCCGTATGCACACTTGCCGCCGTGAAGAACAACTCCATGCTGAACAGCCACCCTTCCACCGTCGTCGCCTTGTCCGAAGGGTTGAACGGGGGCGGCGTGGCCGGCTTGAGTTTATTCTTCGTTACCGTCACAGTGCGCACGTCGTCCTGCTCCAACTCCCGTGCGAGCTCGTCAAGGACGGTTTCGCTCGCTGCATCATCGGCTTCTAACTTGACATTGTCCTCTGCGACTCCAGGCGACTCCTGACGCGCTTCACCACGCGTCTAGCGAAGCTCGGTGTTCTCCGTCCTAAGTCTCACGACTTCACTGTTCAAACTCGCCATCTGGGCTTGCATTGCCTGCATCTGAGCCATGACCTCGTCTAGCTAGGCCTGAGACATGATGCGAATGC